GGTCGGCGACGCGTCCTGGGACGTCGCGTTCAATACGACCGTGGAAGGGGTGTCGCGAGCCCGTTGGGGTTCGGGGCGTGACATCGCCAGCGGCCGGCGGGGCCGACCTCGCCGGCCCCCGCCTCTGGCTGGTCGCCGGTCCGGCGACCGGCCAGAAGGTGAAACAAAAAAAAAAAGAAAAGGAAAGGAAAAAGAAAAGAAAAGAAAAAATAAAAAAAATTCGAAAAAATAAAAAATAATATTAAAAAATTGGACGAAAAGTGAATTGGGTAGATTTGGGACAAAAGTAAAAGTTTGAGGTTTTTTATAAGACAAAAAAAAGTTTGGGATATAATTGAGATAAAGGGTAAAGTTGGGGGTTTTTTAGGGAATTTGGCCTCGTTGAGAGTAACAAAACCTGCCCTCTTGCCCACATCCACAAAATGTTGAAACGTGCAGCCGTGGTCTAATCCGTGGCCCTCTGGGAACACGGACAACCCGCGCACTGCCGATCGGCCTGAATAGGCCGGCGAGCGAAGTCCTAGCCAATTGGCCACAACAGAGTGCACGCCGTCGCATCCCACAACAGCCTACACGCACAAATAATCAAGGTTCCGATAAGTTCAAAGTCAGCATGTTACCGCAACTTATTTCGATTCAAAAGAAGGTACTCGAGGACTGTAGAGACCTTGGACTTTATGATGGTCCCATCATCAAGCGTGACAACACAAATGGATGAGCCTTGTTCTACTTGGGTTTCGATAAAAGTTATCTTGGAAGAGAATCGAATGGTATTCGGAGGAAGCTCCTCTGCCAGGACTTCCAACAGGACCCTTCGATGAACCGCTCTTGGTGGGCCTCCAATCCTGCTTTAATGCACGAGGCATGGTTCTCTATCATCAGCATTTGAAGAACACATGCATAAAATTTATTGAATAAGATTATCCAATTTTATCTAACAAAAAGAGCTTTAAATAATCAAACTTAACTAATTGGCGATCTTCTTCGAAAATGAGCTGTAAAAATAGGGCTTATTTGTGAGAGTCATTTGTATCCTTTTGAGCCAATGAAGTATAATTAGTAGAAGATTACAAGAAATTGATAGATCCAAAACATTAAACAGTAAATTAAGGAAACAAGCGACGATGAAAAGGTAGGTAGAAAACATGAGATGAGTTTGAGATTCACCGGTTATTTGGAGCATAATGCACTTCTCGGATCGATTTAGTCTGGACATCAGTTATGTATCCCCTGATAGACAAGTACCAAAAAAATCAGAATATCAACGAGTAAAATTATTAATTCTAGTAACTGAGAAATTGTCCAATAGATTCAAGGTCAAGCATCCCAGATCTTTAATTTTTTTTTTTTTAAAGAACCATTTACGAAGTTCCCCACACCTAGAATTGATTTAACCAAGTACAAAATCAATGTAGAACTTATCTTTTCACTCTGTGTATCTTTGCTTGGACAACCCATTGTTCTTTCTCACTGATATAACACTTTTCTCCCTTGATTTGATGGATATCAAGGTATTTAGTTGCACTATTATGAGAATGAATCCCATCAGTAACTCCAATAGGTAAATTTCACAAGGTCGCCACTAGGCATGCAACTCTCTTGGTAAAGGGATTAATGGGTGGGGCCGGAGAATACTAAGTCCAGGATTCGATCACCGTGAATACCATACACACATGTACATAAAAGATAAGAGTAAGACCACAAAAAAATTTCACGAGGTCATTGGAATTCATTGCATTTTACATATATGAGATGGGGAGCTTTTCACCTCTTCTAAGAGATGCTTACACTAATTCATCATCCATCAAAATCGAAACGCCCGAAATTATGTCTACCATTTCCGGTATTAGCAGAAAAATCACTCATAAAAGTCCCGATTTGTGATTGTTGAAGTAAGATTCGATTGGCTTTTAATACTCTCAAATGATTCCTCACCTCATTCCCGTAAATCCACAATAATCAGACGTTTGTGTTAATGTATAAAGAGCAAACAAGGGCCTTACTTGTGGAAAGGATCATAGAGGGGCGCGAGCTTGTCCGAAACCCCGAGTGCGTCGAGCGCAAGCCACGCATTAGGGTGGAGACCAAGAGCCGCGCCAGTCACTCGCAGCTCCTTCGATCTCTCGAGGACGAGCACTCGGATGCCGACCTTCTTCAGGGCCACCGCCGTCGCCAACCCCGCGATGCCGGCGCCCACTATCACCACCTCCTCCATATATCGGTCGTCTTCGAATTTTCAAGCTCGTGAGAGCGCACGCGCCCGCGTTGTTGTTCTGAATTGGGATGAGGAGTCACTTGTACTAGGGTCGCTATTTATCGTGCGGGAAGGTTTGCTGTCCTTGCGATAGCTACGTACCTCCTTACGTATGCTATTGAAACAACACTGAATGAATATTACAGCTGCAGAACAAATTTTCAAATGTCTAGAATTTTGCTAAACTATGAGCGTGAAAGGTCTAAAAGCACGTGTTTTTACTTCTAGATGTAAAATACGCCATCAACACAAAATGATCCTTTTCAAATTCCTTGCCTTGTCTTATAACTTGCGCAAGCAAATGCGCAAGGATGGACCTTGTCTTGTTTGGATTCTTATCCAACAGTGTCTTGGAGAGAGCTAGATTACAATTGGTCTGAGCTAACGAACGGTCGAACATAGGACGTTTAGTCAATCTGCGAATTTGACCCAAATATTGACTTTGTTGCTGGAATTTTGAATGAAAAAAGATATCAAAAATACCAATTCTTAACAACTCAAGCAGGTCTAGTGAAGTTTAAAGTACCTAGAGTGCACTCGTACTTTAATTTCCAAATGAATGCCAAACCCCTCGAGAAAGACTCCTTAATGAAGACCAAGCTTGAAATTGGCAAATAAGGAAAAAAAAATGGAAGTACTTGTAATTAAGCTTAATAGGATAAGGAATCTCTTATCTTCTGGTAGCTATTTTTTTTTAGTGGCAAATTTGTTGCCTTTTGATAGCTAGATGCCTCCTTACGTATGCTCAACTTATTAGGAACGAGAAATAAGAGAAAAAAATCAGAAAAAAAAGACATGAATTATTTACATGTAAAACCATTCAACATCATAAAGTGAAAAAGGTGCTCCACTAGGTTACCTTTACATTATCAATATCTTGTAATATCACCTTAATAAATAACAAGAGTTTAGGGCTTAGAAAGTTACGGTATAAATTAAATGGATACCCTTTTACAAAATTCGCCACCTTACGAGCGAGGGCAGCACCTCCCGCCAACTCACAACAAAAGTTGGATCCGCAAGTTTTGGGTTTCGGTTTTTACAGTATTTTCTTCTATTGGACTCCACAACTCCATCAATCTCCTGTTTGGAGGCAGATCTTCAAAATGTCAATAGTTTCTCATAGTCTTCACTAGATTTTGTATGCCAAATCGTCCTAGTGTGGCGACACCTCTTCATGGTTAACCCTGGACGCCAACTGAGGCAATGCATAGTCTCAGTTTCTCAGTGGAAGCATTTTCGATTAACATATTCGCTCAATTCTTCACATGAAGGATTTTCTTTGGTGACAATGTCCCATCATCTATCAACTCACGAACATAGTTATACTTCAACTAAATGTGCTTTCTCCTTGAATGAAATGTCGGATTCTTTGCAAGACACATAGTAGTTGATTGTCACTGAAAAGTATACTACTATCCTGCTCATTGCCTATTTTCTTCAGAAAAATTTTCAACCAAATCATTTCCTTACTAGCTTCAAATATAACAACATCATCCGCTTTAGTAGTTGAGAGGGACACACTTTTGAAGTCTAGACATCTAATTGACTGCAGTGCGACCTAAGGTAGAAACATAACTTGATGTGCTTTTCCTTTTGTCCATGTCATCACCAAAACTTGCATTGACAAAGGCTTGTAAAGTAATATTGTATCTCATTAAACAAAGTGCCATACATGAAGTGCCTCTTGGGTATCTTAGTAGCCACTCTAGCTTCCCAATACTTCATTCCTAGATCGGCCATATATCTGCTCACAACTTGCATTACATGAGCTATGTTTCGTCTAGGACACACCATAGTAGAGGTGAAAAGTCATGTACATTTTCAATATTTTCTCGAATAAAAAAGGTATGGCATCAACATTTTATGTGATGCATCCATTTGTAGCGCACTGTCATCCAGGCCCAATTTATATTGATTCATCAGATAAGCTAAATTGATGAATAAGACCATGTCTACTTAAGATTAAGCATCACCTGTAAAATGTATAGTTAAAAACTTTGCATGCGCAATGAGCTAGTGTAATTAAACTTAAGCATTCCATAACAGGTACGAGACACGTATGATAACGTCCGGAGAAAGTCGATGCCGGTCGTCCTTATCCACCCTTTGCTAATTTTCAAAGTGGAAAAGGAAACTTACATTAACTCTGCCTGTTTTCTTGGGCCGAACCGACTCACGATGCTCATAAAAAAACTTTAGGAAACCCAATAACCAAACTTCATGCTTGCTATTTGCCTTTCCTTTCGCTTTGGTTTGGGCTTGCTCCCGGGCTTTGCTATATGTCATTCATTGTCAATAAATTTATCAATCATGTTCTGCAAAACTCACTCTTTAACTTTGATATAATCTGATATATCTCTAAACCTTGCAAATTATTCAGACATCAACAGATAGAATCGGATATGACTTTTTACGAATTTTGCAGATTCACATAATGTCTTTTATTTTCAGAATTTAGAAGGAAAGTCGTAGGTAGAATTCAAAAGTAGCTTATAGAAACAGGCGAGCGCTATCGGAAATTCTACGAGTTAACCGATTCTCAAATGAATTTCCACTAATTGACTTCTTGATTTAGTTGTACCGACCCCGAAAAATACTTGCAAGAGTAGCAAACTATCGGTAAGAATGCAATCTTGATCTTGCTAAACCTGATTCTGCCAAGTGCTAGTTGTGAACTCGACCATGCTTTGCAAGTTGACATGTTGAGCTTTATACGCTCTTTACTTCTATGTCTCTGAATATATTATAAGGGAAGAAGACAATAGGAACTTCATAAGTTGCGTAATATTGGAGCTATAACAGTGTTTTACAGTTCCTGGGTTCTTTCTTTCCCAGACATCATGCAGTTCTTCCGGACCTAAGGCAAGCAACTGGCTTGTCCTAAAGTCAAAACGAGATTTTTTTTTACCTTTTCAATCGAAAGATAATTGAGCAGAAACCTTGTTTGCATTAAAACAACTGATTAACAGACTCGAGACCTTGGAGTATTTTTCCAGAGAAAAAATTGGAAGAAGACCGTCACCCTACCAAGAAACTTTGCCTAGTAACAATCTCAGAACACAGTGAACCCTCTTGAACGGCCAGCGTCAACGGCAAAAGGTTTGAGAAATTTGTGGGGAAAAGTTGAAACTTTTCAAGGAAAACCCCCATCTCCTACACAGATGGCTAAGGACAAACTTCATAAGAAAGCCACAGTGCAAACTGCAAATTATACTTTCTTAAATCAGAGTTTCGGGTTTTTCGGTCCTCAAATAGGGAAGAAATATGAGGAAAATGTTGTCATTTATAGGGCCCAAAAATAGTTTTTTAAGGAAGAAAGGGGTTTCGGATTTCCCAGTTCCAGCAAAAAGCTTCTCTCAGCTTGTATTGTTGTTTCTGTGATGTCTGCCATTCATATCACCAGTGCTTCCCCTGAGAACCACCAGCTTTGTTCTTTCCAAAGAAGGCATTCTTGGGTTTTGGTATCTCATGAATGTCCATCACTTGAATCGTTCTTTGCTTTTTAGCTTCACAAAGAACATACAGCAATAGGCAAGCAGAACGAATCAGTACCGAGTCCGATTAAACGAGAAAAGATCGACGCAGAAAAACTCATATTGCTCCAAGTAAAACCCAACCATTTTCAGCTTCTTTATAATTTGCTTGAAGCCTTTTTCTAGCTGAAGCCAGCCTCTCAGCATCAAAGCTGCTCTCCTTCTGTTCCTTCTGCCTCTGTAAATTCCAAGAAAATGATCAATATCACAATACAATATTAATAGAGAAAATTTCTATGGAGCCCATATACCATATGCCCACGAGTTCTCTGTACTAAAGCAGCTTGTCTTTTAAAACATGCAATTACTTTGTTCAAACCTAATTGGCTTGCCACAACACATCAAGATATCGTAAGAGCCTCTCGTTTGAACAGCTCGATATGAATTTATTCACAGGTTGCATCTCTCGGAAGGCGGACATGCCAACATGTTAGGAAGTGTAATTCGGCAAGAGAACTGGATCATTACATTTTGTGCAGAAGCAGATGCTGAAACTGGTGGGTGTGGTTTAGACGGAGTTTCCTTGCGCACTACCATCTTGGCCTTGGCTTCTGGCTCTGAATAGTTTCTCTCCGAGCCAGAACTTCCATCTGTGTTCAGCCAACGGAGAACACAAGTATCAGACAAGATAATTTCATCTTGACGATCACTATAGAGTTAGAATGAACTGAATGGTCTCTGAATCAGATTCCAAAGCCCGAACTCACTTTGCGGATTTGGAGAGTGTCCAAATTCAGGAACCTAGGCAAAAAAAAAACGAAGAATTAGAACGAAAACGAAAACTGAGTTTCAACAATTTTCACAAAGGAAGGACCAAAATAATAATTGGAAACACTTCTTTCACCTTGGAGTAACCGTTCTGTGGAACTTTCTGCTGGGGCGAGTCTCCATCAGCTGCCAGAATGTCAAATTACAATTTTCAACTAGCTTGTGGTATAGCATCATCAGAGTTGTATTCAGTTGCTCTTTGCAATAAAGGAAGATAAATTGTTTCCTTTCTCAAACAGATAATAATCTTTTACCTCCCAAGAGTGCGGAGGAGGCAACTTCTCCAGGCTGATTCACAGTTACCCATTCGTCCACAATTGCTTTCCATTTCCTGCAATACAAAAACCAAATTTAACATCCCAACATGCCCAGAACTTGCTCGAAACAATCATTCCATCTCGGCCTAAAGGCCGATAAAGTTTTTGGTCAAAAACATCAAAAGTTACAAACTACTGGTTTCCCAACCTAATGAGATGCTTCACAAGTCGCCGAACATCATTTGAGGGATGCTTCCGGAACTGGTTTACATGCCTTCCGATATCAGTTTCCTACCAACCACAACAAGCAGGAAATTTACTCCTACCAAACTGAAAGATTATAAAAGTTGTCCCTTTTTTCTTCCTTCGGGATACCAATAAGCATTCCACAATAATCACCTCCAGAGCTTGGAATGTAATGTCCATATCTGCTAGACTCTGAAGCAACTCAACCAGGGAATCTTCAGACTGCTAAACAGATGCCAACCAAACGCCATAGAAATTAATTAAACCCTCTGCTTCAAAGACAGAAAAAAGCAACTAACCACAATGAAGATATGAAATTTATCCAGACAACACGAAACAAGACCTGATCAGGGTCCTCAAGATGCCTCTTAATTTCGAGGATCTTTTTCTGCTCATCATCGAACAAACCCCCGAACGGGTCCAACTCGTCGTTCGTGTCCGCTGATTGCGGCGTGGAGGGCGAATTCGCCTTCCCTTCCCGACCCTTGGCCTTCTCTTCTTGCACCGAACTCCTGATCATGTGCCCATTAGGCCTATCCGCCGCACCATCAGTTTGACAGTTCCCACACTTCGAAGACAAAGTGGCCGCATATAACCGCTCCACAATCCCATCCCTCCTCCTCTTCAGCTCATTGAAACTGTCCAACGAAGCCACCGTTATCGCCGTGTCGATGAACGTCCAGACATCAACACCCGAACTCTCCAACACCGTCCTGAAGTCATCCAAATCCATGCTACAACCCCCTAAACGATCGGAACAACCAAAACCCACCTCCCAATTCTTGCCAACCCGCCTGCTCTCTCAACAACAAGAAGATCCGCAGCTCCCCGACGTCGAATTATTTCAAGAACCCCGCGTTCCCAGACTACGACGACCCATCCCCAGATCTGCCATGCTCGACAGAACAAGAACAAACAGAAGCAGAACCCAACTCCGAATCAACAAAGGGTGTGCTCACAAACAGGGGTACCCTCCAGATTCCCGGAGCTGAAAATTGCTGCAAACCCAAGAACGATCAAGAGCCGCAACGATCAGAAGAGCACCCCCCCTCCCCAAATCGTCAAAGATCTAGATCTGACTCCGCGTTGACCAACGACCCCGACCGCTCCCCTGGAACTATCGTTCGAGAGTCGAAGTGAGCGAAGCAATCAGAGGAGACGAGGAAACGCTGGACTGGGAAACTGTCGGGAAATGGGTACGATGCATCGTCAGCTTTTTGCCGTTTCGGCTTCTTGATCTGGGGAATAATGGCGTCGACTTCTTCTTCTTCTTTTCTTTTTTTTTTCCCCTTTTCACAAGATTGGGACAAAAAACGGTATATTCTTAAAAAAAAAGAAGGGCTTTTTAATAGCAAAAATTTCATTGGTTAAGCATATCACATCATACATTTTCCAATTAAGGTGGAATAAATTTAAGAAAAGTTTAGGAAAAAATCGTATATTACGAGTAATACCATGAAACTCGCGAAATGCGATAGAATTAGAAATTTCAGACGAGTTCGGGAGAAGCCTGATCGTGAGTATTTTCAGACACCGATTAAACATAGCTAGCATCGATTTTCAGAATATTAGATACACGAATTGCGATAAGAAAAGGGAGTATTTGAATTGACTATTATGTGCTCGAGGAATAAATTGGTATTCCAAATATAATAATATATTTTCTCTGGGTGGAACATATAGAATAGATAAATAAAGATTAGGGGAGTCCACGTGGCCCCAGCAGCAGATTTTTTGGTTTGTTGTGGCTTAGGAGATCAATGGACAAAGAGTAAAGGAGGAGAGAGGAGAACTTGGTCAATGATGGGGGCTTGGGGTTTTCACACTTTAGAATCATGTGAGACAACTAAGATTTGGTTTCGGAGAACATAATAGAAATTAGTCTTTTTATGTTGGAATATTGTCTTGTTTTGATCATTTGTTTTTTCAAGGGCATTATTCTTCTCTTTATAGTTTTTGTGGGCAGTGCATGAATATCTTATCCTCCGTTTTTTTTTTGGGTGCAATGTAATGGAATATTGGGTTGTAGTGGGTTTGATTTGAAGGTGTCTTTTTATATCCTTACCGACACCGGCACCACCACTGGCACCAGTACCAACCCCAACCATGGACCATTTGCTTTTTCCCACTGTCCATTGGGTTGGGTTGAGGGATGAGCATGAACCATGCCCGCGGTGATCTTATGGATTCATCACCAGTTCTCTGTCCCTCTCCAATTTGACCTTAAGATTGAGATTAGCAAGGATACAGTGCTTAAGCTTGAGCAGCTGAGCCGCTTCAATTTGAAAACCGAATCGAACCGGCCTTACCCAATCGGTTCCAAGTCAGTTCACATGCGGACCGGTAAGTGCTTGATAAAAAGAATGGACGAACCTGATCGATCCAATGTTCCTGTTTTATGTTGTGAATCGTCGGCTTTATTCGAGTACTTTGAACCGGTTCTAAACTTTGTTTAGAAAGGTAGAATGGCCCTCGGAGAATGCTCAACGTAGAGGGAGGATTAATGCTTCCTTTTCATTTCACAAACTAAAGATAATAATAATTGACGGAAATGACTAGATAGCGTGAGAATAAATTAAAGTAAGCCTCTATTTATTTCGTAAAAAATGAATATTTTGGAAAATTATTTTGTTATTTTTCAAAATATCAACTTATATCACTTGAAATAATTAGTCGGTGAGAAATATATTTATCACCAACAACAATTTATATATAATCATTTTCGTGAATGGTGAAAATATTTTATTTTATCATTCATTTTTCGCAAAACAAACAGATCGTTTGGACTCCGGATACCGTCACGAGTTGCGAGGGAAATAGTGAACAAATTTAATAAAGTGGCACACAATGCTACATAGTTTATAATGTATAATAAAGCATGTGACTTGACAAATTTGGTTTTAAAATCCATATATTCAAACAGGAATAGCGACGTGGTCTACTTGTGGCCTCGTAATTGAAATACTTATCTTGATCACTTAGGGTGCATTTGTTTCGTAAAAAATAAATGATTTGAAAAATATTTCCTAAAAACTGATCACTTATATCACTTACAAAAATAAACAATTAAAAACTATTTTCATCGTCCATGAAAATATCAAAATATAAATTATTGTCGATAATGAAAACACTTTTCATTAACTAATTATTTCAAACATCCAAATCATTCGTTTATTTTTTGACGAAACAAACAGAGCCTCAACTAACTAACTTCAATGCCACATTGTATTTAGCAGGCCTCATAAGCAAGCAGGACAAGTAACATTTGCGAGGCACTTGCAGGCAGAAGAGGATGATACCAGATAAGTTTCATACAGTACAGTATTGTCATGATTAGAACCAGGTCCCTCGAAAAACCCAACTCGAAAAACCCAAATTCGGACAAAGCGTCTGTGATTAATTCAGTCCAGAACAAAACGCTATCCGCAGCCAATCGATACGGGGAGCTTATATTTTTACACCATATCCTTTTTTTTAATTTAAAACCATAGCCTAAACAATCAAATATGATTCGGATAGAAAGCAATGTGATTGTGTTCATTGCTCCAAAGATGGTTCCACAAAGTGATTTGTCCATCGGAGCATCTAAAATGTCAAAAGGTAACTTTCTCATTTCCTTGCCAAACTTCAAAGATTTTTTCGAAAATTTGAAAAGAATTTCTGAATATTTCAAGCGTTAATACTCGAAAGTATGTACACCGCAAGGTTTGGAAAAATAAAAGGTAAATTTAGCAAGTCGCCACGAACAGAATTGCTAGAGACTATTCAGACCATAAAATAAAAAATAAAATGGCCCGACCGGCCGAAAATTAATAAAGGTTATATAACAATAACTCATGAAGGTGAGACATGATATTTTCAGGAAACTCTAAGTTGTAATGTGTGAAAAAAAGTCGTAATGAGTAGACCATGTATAGTCCTCCATTGCCTCGTGAGCGAGCTCATCCAGAACAAAACCAATGTGTATGATGGTCGACGGTTGACCGACGGAGACTCGTCATCGGCCAAAGGCCGTTGCCTGATTTGTTCCGAGTCGATCCCCCAAAGAGAGTAACCTAAAAAACTCAGAGATGCAAAGACCGTTTTAAAGTATCCAAGACCTCTTTCAGCCATGCATTCTTGACTCGTTTGACTTATCTAAGCTATCCAAAATGCCATAAAATGGCCTGCTTTCAAGCTTCCTATCCGGGTCTGCAACAAAACTATAGCTCTTTCCAAGCCTTCTCTTCCCATTGCTACATTGAAAGGAAGCCTCACCTTGCGTGCCTCCTGATGGATCAGTTGGTTGCGCTATATCAGAGGAAGAATCAGACATGCCATCCGTACTAGTCGACTTGTCCCTCTCACTATCGGTTTTCTTGCCGGTGTAATACGAATTGATCACTTCTTCGAATGGTGAGGAGTGCACCGTGTCCTCCTTCTGCATTCCACCCGCTTCTTCTCCAGATGCATTAACCTCATCTTCTAATTCTAAAAAGTCACTATCTGAGAGGTCAGGATTGTAATCAACATCAACAGCATCTCCTTTAGTAAAATGTCCCGGTTTAAGGTCATTTCCGCTGAAAACTCCATCAGCAACGGGCCCCAATTCCTCCCATGGAGAGTCAACACAATCGTCCTTCTTTGATGAATTGCACGATTCAATATCCAAACTACCCACTGAGCCACAGGGATCGCTTGAATGACTATTGGGGTTGGCACTTTCCATCTTTCGACATTTTAAGGCTTTGCCAGAAGGATAAATATGAGTAGATTCAACCGTCACTCCAGCCATCATCTCTAAAACGGATGTCAGTTCTTCACAGCCAAGTCTCTGTGGATCAAGAGGATAACCATGCTTCTCAAGGAACAGCTTTTTGAAAGGGCGAATATCATATCCTCCAGGATACTGCTTCAGTATCTCATTTACAAGTTTCTGACAGTCGGCTAAGATCTTATTTCTCGACTGGTCAATGGGTCTCTTATTAAGAACGTGGGGAGAAACTCCACCGTCAGTATTCTGATTTTTTTTCTCTCCATTATGCTCAAACGGCCTCTGTAACTCCGTGTGCAATGATGGATTCCCCTTAAAGAAAGAGCTCAGCCGACTTGAAGCATGGGAACAATGTTCAGAAGGTTTAAAAAGCAGCTTTTGAGATGGGTCTTCTTCAACCGATTTCTGCCCCACTTTCAACAGATCGACAAAATGGAGGAGATCACTTTCGCTGAGAGATTTTGCTGCTGGCAGTCTGTCCTTTTGCAGATTTTGCACCATTTCTCTTCAGGCATTAAAAATGAACAGTGTGAGAGTCTGACTAACAATTTTTCTTGCAAGTTTAAATGTTAAGATGAGATATGAGTTTTGAAAGCAAACAATTTTATACTGAGAAAAATCATAGAAAAGACCACTGAAAAGACAATGACAGGATTCTCCTTTCCTCATCATTCCGCAATCCAATTTCATGATAGAAAGCCATATAAAAACCATCCCTAAATCTTGAATCAGTCAAACAAATTATGTGTTTTTATCCAAGATGATTCAAGTTCAAAACCAGAATGGATTAACCACAGATAAAACAAAAGAGATCACACAAATCACGCTGTTCTTCTTAGAAAGGACATGTTATTGCTACTCCTGGGCTGGAAGTTATCAGCCTCATTAGTTCAATTATCTGATCTAATATGATATCTGATAGCATTAAGTCAGGGGGACAAAAGGCCCTTTGAAAGACCTGTTTGCTAAACATCTCAAAATCCTAAAAGAAACTGACAAGAAAATAAAAATAAGAACATAATATGGCAGAAAGTTGCAATTCATATAGATGGAGAGTTAATGTTTCCGCTCATCTACAATCCAATACTGCTTATAGCAATACGAGGATCCAAGAAACTAATTGGACAGGTAAATATGCAGGCTAACAGAGCGTCATCACGATGAGGCAGCTTAATAATTATAGATCAGTAAATGCATTCACCTGGTCCTAGACTTGCCGACAGTAGCCGATCCTTTGGCTGAACTCGGAGATGATTTATCATCACTCCAAAGTGTATCAATGTTGCCCTTTGTTGAGTGGTTATTGCCCTTTGCTGACTGATTGCTGGTTGACGCTGATGATGGTGGACAATTTGGCTCTGCAACCTGGGTTGGACATTTCTCTTCATCTTTCACCTCACCTGAATCATCGCTGGGAGTAGAACATTCTTCACGTGCACCATTACTCATTTCCTTGGAGCAATGGGAAGCAGTGCAGTCTGACATTTTGACATTATTCTTAGTTGAACTGCTATCTTCGACACCAAACCATCTTTTCCAAAACCTTTTGAAAAGACCAGCTACAGATGTAGAGTCTCGCTGAGATGCAAATGCCACACGTTCATCAGGAGAAGGCCCCTGTTGTGCCTCATCTGAAGTCACATCTGTATTAGGTGCAGGTGGTGGTGATTTCTCGATAGCAGCTCTTTTGGCCTGCATTAACTCCTCATTTGCATCTGAATTTGTGACTTCAGATAATGCAGCATGTCTAGTCGGCATCTCAAGGTCCTTCTTATCAATTAAATGTTGCTCACCGACATTTTTAGAAGGTACTGCCACATGTGCATCAGGAGAAGTCCGATGTGGTTCCTTATCTGAAGTCAGATCCTTATTCAGCTCAGATGGTGGTAATTTCTGAACAGCAGCTCTTTTGGCATGCATTAACTCATCATCCGCATCTGAACTTGTCCATCCCTCCTCTCCACTTTCAGTTATGGACCTTGTAGATGGATCCACAATGGAGTTTAATGATGATTGAGGTTTCTTGGTAACTGCCTGCACCAAGAATTGCCCATCACCTTGGTGGTGAAGCTTTATGATGTGCGGCATAGACATAAGGAATTGTGAGAACTTTTTGTAGCCATACAAGTCCTTGTCTAAATGTAGATTACTTCTTCCCAGCTCTGCACGCAGTTCTGTAATTGGAATGCCTTTCGGACTTGACCTTACTAATCTCCAAATTTGCCTCATGACTGCCTGAGGAACTGCGCGAGGCAAGATCTCACTCCCCAAGCGAGGCTGTTCAGTAACCGCAAATGGGTCTTCAAGAGGAAGCTTGCAGTGACCATACCAAGAACCGTATGGACCATCAGGAGGCTGATTAAAATGCTTTCCCGTAAGGTTTTCCCCTTTGACCAAAGAATTCCAATGCCACATAATACTAGCAGCGCTGCAGAGAACAGGGGGGGCACTTTCTGGACTCGCAAGAAGTATGTTGTAGTTGCTCATTCTTAACTTGTGCAAAATGCTGGCAAAATCCCTATCACCCGATATCAAAAACAGATGTGCTGGTGGAGGATTCTGTGATACCCAATACATGAGATCGGTAAGGAGAGACCTATCAGCACTGTTCTTTCCACCTGCAAGTCCAAATGGTTACAGAGTGGATGAATTCAGATCAATTCTTGACACACAATCTACCGAATGTTGTCCTAGTAGGATTAACACCAGTGATGAAGTTACAAAAGCCAACATTCCCATTCATCACAAGCCAACTAGTACCAATCAACCTTGTTGCGCAATAATTTACAGGACCCACGAACTGGCAGATAGCACATTCATCAATAAACATATGAAAAGCCTTGCCACTCTAGTGGTTACTAAAATTTAGCACCATAATCATACAACTGAAGTTTCAGTGAACTAGACAGCTCGAGTGGTGTAGACAATGTCCGAAACCTAATATCGAGAAAGGAACAGGTAAAACAAACCGTGAGGCACATGGGTCATGTTGATTCCGGTGGCCGAGAGAGCCTCCTGCCTCGACCGCGAGAGCTGCAGGACGTCGCCGAACGCCGTGATCTGAATCGGGCCCCTGATCGCGCTCGCCCTGACTGCGGCGGCGATCGAGGCCGCCACCCTGAACACGTTGGCGCCGGCCGGCAAGTTGCAGTTCTCGAAGTCCCACCACACCGATACCCTCACGCCGCGCGACCTGTCGTCGTCCCGCCTCGACGACGACGCCGGGCTCTGCCCGAAATGCGAATGCTGCGGGCCATAGCTCGAAGAAGATGCCAAGAAACGGGAGATTCTCAGGAACAGGGGAGGCGAACTTGGAGGCGGGGGCAGGGTTCTGGGGCGGAGGGAATTCATGGCGGGGCTTGAGGAGCGGCGAAGGACTGAAGATTCTTGCGGTGGGATGAAGAACAGGGGCTTGTGAAGTTTCTTGGAGGTTCTAGCTCCATGGGAAGGAGGAATTGCGCTTGGGTTTCAACCATTTCTTGGCTTATACCCTGGAAGAAGAAGAGACGAGGAGGAGGGATTCGGCTTAAACCCTCGCTAAAGTGCCCCCAGCTCACGTGAGGTGCACGTGCACCCATATGGTGTATATGTTTGAGTACAAATTTTTTTTTAGAAAAGCAGGTAATTTGAATTATTCTTGGAAGGGAAAATGACAAAAATGGTCCATGAACTTTGGCCCAATGTGTAATGCAATCTCTGAACTTTTAATTTATTCAACGTGATCTCCAAAATTTTAGCCTAATATGCAATGCGGTCTCTGAATTTTCAGTACCTGTTCAAAATATATGGACTGCATGAATTTAATAATCAAGGATTAGATGATATATTTACAAAAATTTCAAGGATCATATCGAACGAATTAAAAGTGCAAGGATCATATTGTACATTATGTTAAAGTTTAGGGATCACATTGAATAAATTAAAAGTTCATGGACCACATTGCACATTTGATCGAAGTTCGGGGACCGTTTGTGTAATTATGCCTTTTAGGAAACATATTCAAAATCATAATGTTTGAGAAATACCATATCCCCCTTATAATTAATGAAAATATATGTCACAAATTGGCTCCATCCTAAAAAAAACAAAAAAATGGTTCCGTTGCTTGGACTCCATTCAATATGGATTTGAATGATTTTTAGCAAAGAGTATGTATAATGAATTTCAAACATAAAGACATATGCTCACAAAAATAGGAAATTTGTTAATTAACAGTCCAAAAATATCCAAATTTAATAATTAATGATCGGACGATGTTCTGAATATAGAATGTTCTGGTCATATGAAAAGTAGACACCAAATGTGAAAGTTGACTTTATATAGTATAGAAATAGGGATCCGTTATCCTTTATATAATAATAAGGGGAAAATTGTCCAAAACATTCTAAACAATTTATGCGGTGACCAATTCAATTTTAAGGCTTATAAATTTGTCAATTTAGTTTTAAATCTTTTTATGATTTGCTAATTTAATCATCAACATTTTAACGATTTGTCAATTTAATCATTCCGATCAATTTTGGTTGGAAATCGTTGATATGACAGTCTAGTCAACGCTAGTCATCCCACGTGACATGACTGGCGTTGACATAGATAATTTTTTTACTTTTTATAAATTTTTCTGAATTTTTTATAATTTTTTCATTTTTTTTTCTTACTTTCTTCCTTCAGCCGATCGGGCCTCAGTGATGGCCAACGACTAGCCAGTGGTAAGGGCCAAGGAGGTTGACCTCGCCTGCCCTTATAATGCCAAAAATAACCTTAGAAAATTAACAAATTTTTTATAGCTATTTCTCTGCTGAAATAGGCTTGAGAAATTTGGTACTTCTCTTTAGGCCATTATTATCGGAATGTCATGATTTTCCAAAATGTTTTCAAAAGTTACAGTTTTTTGCTCTTAAAAATATTTTTACTTTTCATAACATTTATAATATATGACAAAAATGACAAAAATACTAGTATCTAAGTAGGCCAATAAATAATATGGCTTCGCTCATTTCAAAACTAAGCATGCAGCATAAACTAGGACGTCATCTAGTCAATAGCACAAATATCCACAGCACACGAAGTCATGCCAAGGCGTAAAATCGAGGATTGCATTCAATTTTAGGAAATTATTTTATAATTGCATTCGAATAACTTAATTAAATAACATGGTACCTAAAGGGCGTTGTGGAGACACTAACCCCTCCCAGCATGTACTGAACCCCCGAATTGTGATTTCGAGCTTTCACAAATGATCAATGCTTTCACACATGGTCCTAAGTATCTAATCAGCATAGCTTATTATTATTATTATTTTTTAAATTGACTGATGGTGATCCATCCCAATTTTTGAAAACCCCGAGTTTTCCCAAAAATTATAAAAATCCTTTTCCATAGCATCAACCTACTCCGGCCTCTCAGGACCCTTGATCCTTGGGAGGGCACTGCATATCAATATTTAATTTAGTTTTTAAACCATATAAAAATATTTGATATTATTCCTAAATTTGAATTAATTGAAAGATAACGTTGGATATTTTCCATATAACCTAGAGACTAGATTGGACATTTGTCAAAAGTTCAGATATCATATTGAATAAATTAAAAGTTTAGGGACGACATTTCACGTTGGGTCAAAGTTCATTAACTGTTTACATTATTATTTCCTTTCACAACAGGTGCATCTATGTATTTATTCGTTCTCGCTTTTTTTTAATAATTGATTGGCGGCAACTCCATCTCATAATTTTCAGAACCTCGAGTTTTTCCAAAAAGCTTTCGTTGACTTCATCGGGCCTTTTACTCTTTGGGATTTTAGTTTGCGATTTGGTCATGTTTACTCTTCGTTCTGCTTTTGCTCTTGGCATTTCCCAGAATGCTTGAAATAAACCTTGGTTGTGCTCATTCCCAAAACTGGACAACTTTATCTCCTCCTTACAAGCTAGTTTTGTACCGGACAGAAGAGGTACCGATAACTGTCATCATTGTCCAAGAAAATCGTCCACTCTAGAGCTGAAAAACTGGCAAGACTGGTATAGTGCTCATTAAGGTAGATCCTGCTAAAAAGCTTACGATAGATTGGAATGGGATTCTTTTCACAAGAGAAGTACTAACTTCAATTTCCTGGACTCCCTGGATGGGTTTAATAATGTTTCGTGTTCCCTCTTCTTCTATTACTGTCTTGTTTAACAAAGATTGTTTGGATGAAATCCAACCTACTAGAGATATTCCTCAAGGTGATCTGCTCTGGCTTATTTCTCTATCTTGTGTATGGATCTTGGTCGACGTATTATGGATGCCTGTGAGCACGTTACGGATACAGTAGAATTATTTGAAGTCTGTATGATAGTAATCAGCAGGATTATTATATTTTCCCCTATCCCTGGTCGGAAAGGAACTTTTTTTTGAACCGTACCTTTAAATGGCAGTTACAAGTTATGGACATCAACCATATTTACATTTGCCTTAGTGTTGCGTGGGCGATATCCATAAATTGCAACCCAGAGGTATAATTGCAGGAAATTTCCTGCAACCAGAAAAGAAGGCCCTAGTCAGAATTTTCTGCTTTTGAAAAAGGAAACTCACGTCAGAAAGCACATACCAAAGAGAAGACTCACTAACTTATCCACTCACTGACTTTGCATTTCCTTGACTCATAGATAAAAAGGTAGCAAATGTTAAATTTTCTGCAAAGCCGGATAAGCATGCGAATCTTACAGATTTTGGCTTTGAATTCCTAATCTGAGGCGACTGTACCGAGAGGAAAGAGCAAAATGGGACTGAAGAATCCATACTTGTTCGCTATCTTGGTCCAGGTTATACAGGTAGGCATGACCTTGTTCACCAAGGCTGTGCATTCATTGGAGGAATGAAGAGCTTCATCTTCGTCTTCTACCGGCAACTGGCCGGAACCATTTTCTTACTCCTGTTAGCTGTGATGTTCGAAAGGAGATCCGCAACTCCGCTCACATTCCTTGTCTTCTTTAAGATATCTGCGCTTGCTTTCCTGGGGTGAGTTACAGAACGTTCCCTGGAATCTTGAGTTTTATACCCCAATCAGAGAATTTGGTGATTATGTAACTTAACATTCAAAAGCTTATTCCTTTTTCTAAAAGTTTTGATGAGATGATAATACATGTGTATTGTAGTCTCACGCTAGCTACAAATCTCTATGGGATTGCGCTCCTCTATACTTCAGCTTCGCTCGTGTCTGCAACTGCTAATTGCCTACCTGTCACAACCTTTTTCTTCGCTGTTCTTCTCAGGTTGTCCTCTTCCTGGCGATTTGATATATATATTCTCTCCACTCTTTAAATCAATTTCGTTACTCTCATTAGAATTTTTTAGCAAAAATCGAATCATCTTTGTTGCATACATTGTCGATGTGACTATTTGATCTAGACTTGTTAGTAAGTCTGATACAAGTGTTGGGTAGTCTTGAGTCTCTCTTATCCCAAAAGCTAGCTCAAAGAGTAAGACTTCTCCTCACACTTATAAACTAACCACCTACTACTTCCACAACCGATATGGGATAACACCAATAGTAAAACTCTATCATGGTTTATTAGATTACCCAAACTTCTAGTGCAAAGCCATCATTTCCCACATTCATTACAATATACATGCGATGCATCAATTGAGTAGTGAAAAAGAGAAAAAAATTATTATTTTGTACAATACCAAACTAAGAGTATACGAGTCTATTTATAAGTTATGCAAGATGACTATCTAAAGTAGCAAAATATCAAGTAAAATTAATCAGGATCAATAAGGGGAAATATACATAATCTCCCAAATATATCTCGAACGGTATCAAATTTGTCAAATGTTTACGTACTCTACCGAGTGAATACCCAAATTTCCTCTTTAGTGGACTCATGATTTCATTATAGCCAAAACTTCATCTCCTAATGCTTTGTAACTCTTGGCAACTACTTTGGCAGGAAGGAGAAGTTGAATGTGACGAAAATAGCGGGAGTTGCAAAGCTTGGAGGAATAACATTTTGCATGGGAGGAGTGGCCACCCTTGCGTTTTTCAAGGGACCAATTCTACATCCTCCTTTTGCTCTCCACAATGCCCAACACCAACGCCAACACCACATTTCATCATCTGGAAGCACAACATGGATCGTAGGTTGCTTCCTCTCTTTCATTTCAGTCTCCTCCTGGGGCTTATGGTATGTTCTCCAGGTACCCCCAACTTCTCATAAAGGATTTTGATCTTTTCAAGAATTTAATTCTATTTAGACTCTCCATATACCACGGCAGATATTGCCAAAGAGAATTAATAGGTTTATTTAAAATGATTCATGACAATGATTGGCTAAGAGACTTGTCGGACTATTATCGACTTTGACTATAGCTCAATTGTAGTTTGACACATCATTTAACAAACCGCTTTCCAAAATCAATATTAGTAAGCTCAGAGTATTGCTCATCATGAAATGCATTTACGTAAAATATTTCGTGATCTCTCGAACGGCTAACTTTACATATATGCACTCTC